GAGATGGTTGGACCGCTGAATAAAGGAAAAGCAGCCAACAAGTGCTCAGCATATTTCAGGACTCGTTTCAGGAAACTAGGCGTATGTCGCGGGTCACTACTACACAGGAGAGCCATTTGAACATAAACTTTTTTTTTAATCAAAATGTGTTTTTTTAGCAGAAATGCCTTCTGGAACATGTGAACTTTCATGTGCCTTAATAACAAACTTGTATGCCATCTGTAAATACGAATAAAATTGTTAAATTACGAGCCTAATTGGTTAAGCCACAGAAAAAGACAGCAACCTTCCCACTAGCCATGATTGGCTGAGATAATGAGTGGGCTGGACATGCCAAGAGAGGAGTTCGGATTGGTCTGCCATATAGCACGCTTCTGTCTATTTGAGCTGGTCAGTATGTGTAGGTAATCCTGTCTAACGTGGCATAATTTTAAAAAAATGTATCGTGTAGTGGAGCTGCATAAGTGTTGCTCTCCACTTTCTGGAGGATCGAGTTTTGAAATCAGTGGAATTAGAGTATGATAGCTAAGGAGATGGAGAAAACACCTGTCTCCGGATTACATCTTAAAACTAAAGGCAACCATGGCATCTGTGACAGGGAGACGCGTCCATCCATGATGTATACGGGTAAGATAGTCTATCTAGCTACATTTTCAGATATTACACATTTCTAATTTTGACATTTTTTTTTTTTTCAAGTTAAATTGTACTGTTAGCTAGCTAGCTAATGTTACGCGGATGCTCTTATTATTTCTATCTCATAGCCATTTGCTTGCGAACATTGAACCTGGTTGATTCATGCAGGGTAGTAAAGTCATGAGTTGGGATTATGGTTAATTGTTTAGCTAGCTAGCTAACGTTAGCTGGCTGGCTCGCTAGCTAACGTTATGTGTATGATTTGACATGTTGTTTACCTAGCTACGTTCATTGTTTACCTAGCTAGCTACATGTATTAACAAAAGACTCCACTATGCAAGTAACCATTTCGGGTGCATTCGTAAATTCAGTCTGAGTATGCCAGAGCGCAGAATAACTGATGAATTTACGAACGCACAACACCCGTTAAATATGGTCGGTATCAGTAAATGTCGGCAAATAAAACATCATTAAATTGTTGCCAGCAGCACAGTTACAGTCACCAACGCTCTGGGTAACATGAAAACAGCCTAACCAGCTCTGCTAGGGCAAGTAAAATGGTCAGTGGGGTGCTGGTTAGGCTGTTTTCATGTTATCAAGAGGTAAAGAATGAACCATAATCCCAATTTTGTGTCTGGAAGTAGCTATCAAGCTAGCCAATGTTAGCCAGTTAGCTTGGGTGCTTAGCTTCTGTTGTGAGGTCAGAATGCTCGGATCAACCCTACTCATCGGCCAGATCGTCAAGCATGCGCTCTGAACTCTCCGAGAGCTAAACGAGATAGGTGGGGCTAAAGCTTAAGAGGGTGTGAATGATGCTGAATGGGTGTAGACAAAGAAGAGCTCTTCAGTAGGTACCAAAACATTCAAAGGCCATTTTTTCAAAAGTGAGATTACAAGTTTATCAACTTTCAAATCAGAATTACTTTCCCATTGTTCCTCAAATGCAGTGTATGATATACCATTTTGTAGCTCTGTGTCTCTGCTTTTATCCAATGTAAAAAACACAATTTCAAATTTTGCTACATAAGACCGAATCAATGCGGTCAGTCACATATGTGGGAACTCCTTCAAGACTGTTGGAAAAGCATTCCTCATGAAGCTGGTTGAGAGAATGCCACGAGTATGCAAAGCTGTCATCAAGGCAAAGGGTGGCTACTTTGAAGAATCTGAAAAAAATAAAAATAAATGATTTTTTAACACTTCTATGGTTTCTACATGATTCCATATGTGTTATTTCATAGTTTTGAAGTCTTCACTATTATTCTACAATGTAGAAAATAGTAAAATTAAGAAAAACCATTGAATTAGTAGGTGTGTCCAAACTTTTGACTGGTACTGTATGTAAATTAGATATTTCTGTATTTAATTTGTAATACATTTGCAAACATTTCTAAAAACATGTTTTTACTTTGCCATTACGGAGTATTGTGTGTAGATGGCTGGAACAAAAATCTATTTCATCCATTTTGAATTCAGGCTGTAACACATCAATATGTGGAATAAGTCAATGTGTACTGTAGCTATGAGCTTCCCGATCATCTCATGACCACGGCTGTCCATCTGAAGCTCGCACCTCTACAGCCCTGTCGATGTGGATGGGGGCATGCTCAGCCATCCTTTGTCTTGCTGACGTGGAGGTAGAGGTTGTTGTCCTGGCACCATACTGCCAGATCTCTGACCTCCTGCCAGGTCTCTGACCTCTGAGTCAGGATTGTGTCGAGGCACAGATCTGGGGAAGGGTACCAAAAAATGTCTGCAACATTGAAGGTTCCCAACAACACAGTGGCCTCCATCATTCTTCAATGGAAGAAGTCTGGAATCACCAAGATTCTTCCTAGAGCTAGCCGCCTGGCCAAACTAAGCAATCGGGGGAGAAGAGCCTTGGTCAGGGAGGTGACCAAGAACCCAATGGTCACTCTGACAGAGCTCTAGAGTTCCTCTGTGGAGATGAGAGAACCTTCCAGAAGGACAACCATCTCTGCAGCACTCCACCAATCAGACCTTTATGGTAGAGTGGCCAGACGGAAGCCACTCCTCAGTAAAAGGCACATGACAGCCCGCTTGGAGTTTGCCAAATGGCACCTAAAACTCTCAGACCATGAGAAACAAGATTCTCTGGTCTGATGAAACCAAGATTGAACTATTTTGCCTGAATGCCAAGCGTCACGTCTGGAGGAAACCTGGCACCATCCCTACGGTGAAGTATGGTGGTGGCAGCATCATGCTGTGGGGATGTTTTTCAGCGGCAGGGACTGGGAGACTAGTCAGGATTGAGGCAAAGGTGAACGGAGCAAAGTACAGAGAGATCCTTGATGAAAACCTGCTCCAGAGCACTCAGGACCTCAGACTGGGGCGAAGGTTCACCTTCCAACAGGACAATGACCCTAAGCACACAGCCAAGACAACGCAGGAGTGGCTTCGGGACAAGTCTCTGAATGTCCTTGAGTGGCCCAGCCAGAGCCTGGACTTGATCCCAATCGAACATCTCTGGAGAGACCTGAAAAGAGCTGTGCAGCAACGCTCCCCATCCAACCTGACAGATCTTGAGAGGATCTACCGTGAAGAATGGGAGAAACTCCCCAAATACAGGTGTGCCAAGCTTGTAGCTTCATACCCAAGAAGACTTGAGGCTGTAATCGCTGCCAAAGGTGCTTCAACAAAGTACTGAGTAAAGGATCTGAATACTTATGTTAATGTGATTTTTCCTGTTTTTGCTTTGTCATTATGGGGTATTGTGTTTAGATTGAAGAGGGAAAAAAACAATTTAAAACATTTTAGAATAAGGCTGTAATGTAACAAAATGTGGAAAAAGTCAAGGGGTCTGAATACCTTCTGAAGGCACTGTAAATATACGTATCTAACTGAATTACCTCGTACCCCTGCACATCGACTCTGTAATGGTACCCCGTGTGTATATAGCATTGGAGGCCTCTCAGAGGAGGAAGGGGAGGACTGTCCTTCTCAGTGAACTCCATAAAAATACAAATAGTGAAACATTTTAAAAGTTACCCTTTTTAGATAAACTATACTAAATATATTCACGTCACCAAATAATGTATTAAAACACACTGTTTTTCAATGAAGGTCTACAGTAGCCTCAACAGCACTCTGTAGGGTAGCACCATGGTGTAGCCGGAGGACAGCTAGATTCCATCCTCCTCTGGGCACATTGACTTCAATACAAAACCTAGGAGGCTCATGGTTCTCACCCCCTTCCATAGACTTACTGTACACAGTAATTATGACAACTTCCGGAGGACGTCCTCCAACCTATAGAGAAGCAAAAGAGATAGAGAGCGAGACATTTTGTAAAAAAAAATCACTTACTTAGCTAGCTAGCTACTCAAACACCCTGCTCAAACAGAGGGATGCTATCTTAGCTAGTTGGCTATGACTATCCAACACAACACTGGAACTCAAGGTAAACTTTGGTTTTACAATTTTTTGCCACCGGGGCCCGCTGTTGTAACTGCTAAACTGCTTACTGACTGTACACTGTACAGCATGATTGTAGCGGGTTTACTAACACGTTAGTTCTAGTAGCTATGTTGACTATGATATTAATATAGTGACAACGATAAAGGCTGTGTGTAGCGGTTATGATATGAAGGTTTGGCATGGAAAGGTTTTTTCGCCTGGTCACTTACAGCTGATGTGTTGTGCATTGAAGTTCACAAGCGAAGGGAAAATGTGAGAGAAGGAGAGCGCGTAGATGCGATAAGGAATACAACATGGCTGCTATGAAAGTGAACTATGTTTACGTCTGATCAGGGGTGTATTCATTCTGCCGATTCTGTTGAAAAACTTTTCTTAAACGGCAGCAAACGGAACGAAACGGGGATAAACATACCTGAATTTGTCCAATAGAAACTCTTGTTTGCAACTATTGGACTAATGATTACACCCTAGATCAGCTAGATGCGGGCAAGAGTGTGAAAGGCGGTATTGAATGTGTCACTGTCTGTCACCTCAAAATGTGTCTCTCGAACTGTGTGCACCTACGTTGTAAACTTTCATTCATAGGCTAGGTTGTAGCAACCTCATGATGGGTATAGGGACAATTAGAGTATCATGTAGTAGCCTAAACCTATCGATGTTACATTGAACTGGGTGAAAGGAATATGAATGACAGTTATCCAATATGCTGTAATAGAAATAAGGCCATGCTCATGAAAAAAAGTTAGTTACTCATTATGTATTTATTTCTAGTGTTATTATTATTTTTCTATTTTTCTCTCTCCATTGTTGGGAAGGGCCCGGAGTAAGCATTTCACTGTTACTCTACACCTGTTGTTTACAAAGCATGTGACAAATACATTTGATTCACATTTTTTATTTGATTTACTTATGTCCTCTACTGCTCAGATCATCGAGGAGTTCTTCAACCACACCTGGTGGTCCAGACATAACCAGTCGATGCCAGATCACAGCCTGACCTTCTTGTGGTCCATCTCCGTCAGCATCAAGGACTTTGGAGCCCTGCTGGGGTCACTAGGGGTCAAGTGTCTAGCTGACTCCTTCGGCAGGTGGGTTCTATCTAGGGTTGCAATATTCTAGTAACTTTCCCAAAATTCCAAGGCGTTCCAGAAATCCCCGGATTCCTGGATTTCCTGCTTATTCCCTCATGATTCCAGGAATCTTCCAACCAGAATTTCTGGAAAACTTGGGAATTTGGGGAAAGTTAGCTCAGTTGGTAGAGCATGGCGCTTGCAACACCAGGGTTGTGGGTTCGATTCCCACGGAGGCCAGTATGAAAATGTATGCACTCACTAACTGTAAGTCGCTCTGGATAACTGCGTCTGCTAAATGACTAAAATGTAAAATGTAAATAGATTCATCTCGATTGATTGATCGATTGACTGATTGATTGGTTGATTGATTGAATCCCTCTACACTCTCCACAGGTGTAACTCCATCCTGATAGTGATTGATTGGTTGATTGACTGAATTACTCTACCCTCTCCTCAGGCGTAACTCCATCCTGATAGTGATTGATTGGTTGATTGACTGAATTCCTCTACCCTCTCCTCAGGCGTAACTCCATCCTGATAGTGATTGATTGGTTGATTGACTGAATCCCTCTACCGTAACTCCATCCTGATAGTGATTGATTGACTGAATCCCTCTACCCTCTCCTCAGGCGTAACTCCATCCTGATAGTGATTGATTGACTGAATCCCTCTCCTCAGGCGTAACTCCATCCTGATAGTGATTGATTGGTTGATTGACTGAATCCCTCTACCGTAACTCCATCCTGATAGTGATTGATTGACTGAATCCCTCTACCCTCTCCTCAGGCGTAACTCCATCCTGATAGTGATTGATTGACTGAATCCCTCTCCTCAGGCGTAACTCCATCCTGATAGTGATTGATTGATTGATTGAATCCCTCTACCCTCTCCTCAGGCGTAAATCCATCCTGATAGTGATTGATTGGTTGACTGACTGAATCCCTCTACCCTCTCCTCAGGCGTAACTCCATCCTGATAGTGATTGATTGACTGAATCCCTCTACCCTCTCCTCAGGCATAACTCCATCCTGATAGTGATTGATTGGTTGATTGACTGAATCCCTCTCCTCAGGCGTAACTCCATCCTGATACTGATTGATTGGTTGATTGACTGAATCCCTCTACCCTCTCCTCAGGCGTAACTCCATCCTGATAGTGATTGATTGACTGAATCCCTCTACCCTCTCCTCAGACGTAACTCCATCCTGATAGTGATTGATTGGTTGATTGACTGAATCCCTCTACCCTCTCCTCAGGCGTAACTCCATCCTGATAGTGATTGATTGGTTGATTGACTGAATCCCTCTACCCTCTCCTCAGGCGTAACTCCATCCTGATAGTGATTGATTGACTGAATCCCTCTACCCTCTCCTCAGGCATAACTCCATCCTGATAGTGATTGATTGGTTGATTGACTGAATCCCTCTCCTCAGGCGTAACTCCATCCTGATACTGATTGATTGGTTGATTGACTGAATCCCTCTACCCTCTCCTCAGGCGTAACTCCATCCTGATAGTGATTGATTGACTGAATCCCTCTACCCTCTCCTCAGACGTAACTCCATCCTGATAGTGATTGATTGGTTGATTGACTGAATCCCTCTACCCTCTCCTCAGGCGTAACTCCATCCTGATAGTGATTGATTGGTTGATTGACTGAATCCCTCTACCCTCTCCTCAGGCGTAACTCCATCCTGATAGTGATTGATTGACTGAATCCCTCTACCCTCTCCTAAGGCATAACTCCATCCTGATACTGATTGATTGGTTGATTGACTGAATCCCTCTGCTCAGGCGTAACTCCATCCTGATAGTGATTGATTGGTTGATTGACTGAATCCCTCTGCTCAGGCGTAACTCCATCCTGATAGTGATTGATTGGTTGATTGACTGAATCCCTCTACCCTCTCCTCAGGCGTAACTCCATCCTGATAGTGATTGATTGACTGAATCCCTCTACCCTCTCCTCAGGCGTAACTCCATCCTGATAGTGATTGATTGACTGAATCCCTCTACCCTCTCCTCAGGCGTAACTCCATCCTGATAGTGATTGATTGGTTGATTGACTGAATCCCTCTCCTCAGGCGTAACTCCATCCTGATACTGATTGATTGGTTGATTGACTGAATCCCTCTACCCTCTCCTCAGGCGTAACTCCATCCTGATAGTGATTGATTGACTGAATCCCTCTACCCTCTCCTCAGGCGTAACTCCATCCTGATAGTGATTGATTTACTGAATCCCTCTACCCTCTCCTCAGGCGTAACTCCATCCTGATAGTGATTGATTGACTGAATCCCTCTACTCTCTCCTCAGGCGTAACTCCATCCTGATATTGATTGATTGACTGAATCCCTCTACCCTCTCCTCAGGCGTAACTCCATCCTGATATTGATTGATTGACTGAATCCCTCTACCATCTCCTCAGGCGAAACTCCATCCTGATAGTGATTGATTGACTGAATCCCTCTACCCTCTCCTCAGGTGTAACTCCATCCTGATAGTGATTGATTGGTTGATTTACTGAATCCCTCTACCCTCTCCTCAGGCGTAACTCCATCCTGATAGTGTTTGATTGACTGAATCCCTCTACCCTCTCCTCAGGCGTAACTCCATCCTGATAGTGATTGATTGACTGAATCCCTCTACCCTCTCCTCAGGCGAAACTCCATCCTGATAGTGATTGATTGACTGAATCCCTCTACCCTCTCCTCAGGCGAAACTCCATCCTGATAGTGATTGATTGACTGAATCCCTCTACCCTCTCCTCAGGCGTAACTCCATCCTGATAGTGATTGATTGACTGAATCCCTCTACCCTCTCCTCAGGCGTAACTCCATCCTGATAGTGATTGATTGACTGAATCCCTCTACCCTCTCCTCAGGCGTAACTCCATCCTGATAGTGAATGCCCTGTCGGTGGTGGGAGCCTGTCTGATGTTTGCCTCTAAGGCCAATGAGTCATTTGAGATGCTGATCGTTGGCCGGCTGGTGTTCGGCCTGTTCTGTGGCCTGGTGATGAGTCTGAACCCTCTCTACATCCAGGAAGTCTCCACCACCAACCTCAGAGGGGCCTTCGCTACCCTCAACCAGGTCTCCTTCGCCACGGGCATACTCCTGGGCATGGTGAGAATAGATGTTTTCCTTCGCCACGGGCATACTCCTGGGCATGGTGAGAATAGATGTTTTCCTTCGCCACGGGCATACTCCTGGGCATGGTGAGAATAGATGTTTTCCTTCGCCACGGGCATACTCCTGGGCATGGTGAGAATAGATGTTTTCCTTCGCCACGGGCATACTCCTGGGCATGGTGAGAATAGATGTTTTCCTTCGCCACGGGCATACTCCTGGGCATGGTGAGAATAGATGTTTTCCTTCGCCACGGGCATACTCCTGGGCATGGTGAGAATAGATGTTTTCCTTCGCCACGGGCATACTCCTGGGCATGGTGAGAATAGATGTTGTCTGTCTGCGTCTCAAATGGACACCCTATTCTCTACACAGTGCACTAGTTTGGACCAGGACCCGTAGTGTGTGTGTGTGTGTGTGTGTGTGTGTGTGTGTGTGTGTGTGTGTGTGTGTGTGTGTGTGTGTGTGTGTGTGCATGCGTGTGCGTGTGTGTGCAGTGGCAGACTTACCATTACGCAGAAGAGGCAATTCCTACTATAAATATAACCAGTCACTACCATTACTATAACTATAACCAGTCACTACCACTACTATAACTATAACCAGTCACTACCACTACTATAACTATAACCAGTCACTACCACTACTATAACTATAACCAGTCACTACCACTACTATAACTATAACCAGTCACTACCACTACTATAACTATAACCAGTCACTACCATTACTATAACTATAACCAGACACTACCACTACTATAACTATAACCAGTCACTACCACTACTATAACTATAACCAATAACTACCACTACTATAACTATAACCAGTCACTACCACTACTATAACTATAACCAGTCACTACCACTACTATAACTATAACCAATCACTACCACTACTATAACTATAACCAGTCACTACCACTACTATAACTATAACCAGTCACTACCACTACTATAACTATAACCAATCACTACCACTACTATAACTATAACCAGTCACTACTACTACTATAACTATAACCAGTCACTACCATTACTACTGTAGACACTACCACTACTACACTGCTCAAAACAATAAAGGGAACACTTAAACAACACAATGTAACTCCAAGTCAATCACACTTCTGTGAAATCAAACTGTCCACTTAGGAAGCAACACTGATTGACAATACATTTCACATGCTGTTGTGCAAATGGAATAGACAACAGGTGGAAATTATAGGCAATTAGCAAGACACCCCCAATAAAGGACTGGTTTTGCAGGTGGTGACCACAGACCACTTCTCAGTTCCTATGCTTCCTGGCTGATGTTTTGGTCACTTTTAAATGCTGGCGGTGCTTTCACTCTAGTGGTAGCATGAGACGGAGTCTACAACCCACACAAGTGGCTCAGGTAGTGCAGCTCATCCAGGATGGCACATCAATGCGAGCTGTGGCAAGAAGATTTGCTGTGTCTGTCAGCGTAGTGTCCAGAGCATGGAGGCGCTACCAGGAGACAGGCCAGTACATCAGGAGACGTGGGGGAGGCCGTAGGAGGGCAACAACCCAGCAGCAGGACTGCTACCTCCGCCTTTGTGCAAGGAGGAGCAGGAGGAGCACTGCCAGAGCCCTGAAAAATGACCTCCAGTAGGACACAAATGTGCATGTGTGTGCTCAAACGGTCAGAAACAGACTCCATGAGGGTGGTATGAGGGCCCGACGTCCACAGGTGGGGGTTGTGCTTACAGCCCAACACTGTGCATGACGTTTGGCATTTGCCAGAGAACACCAAGATTTGCAAATTCGCCACTGGCGCCCTGTGCTCTTCACAGATGAAAGCAGGTTCACACTGAGCACGTGACAGACGTGACAGAGTCTGGAGACGCCGTGGAGAACATTCTGCTGCCTGCAACATCCTCCAGCATGACCGGTTTGGCGGTGGGTCAGTCATGGTGTGGGGTGGCATTTCTTTGGGGGGCCGCACAGCCCTCCATGTGCTCGCCAGAGGTAGCCTGACTGCCATTAGGTACCGAGATGAGATCCTCAGACCCCTTGTGAGACCATATGCTGGTGCGGTTGGCCCTGGGTTCCTCCTAATGCAAGACAATGCTAGACCTCATGTGGCTGGAGTGTGTCAGCAGTTCCTGCAAGAGGAAGGCATTGATGCTATGGACTGGCCCGCCCGTTCCCCAGACCTGAATCCAATTGAGCACATCTGGGACATCATGTCTCGCTCCATCCACCAACGCCACGTTGCACCACAGACTGTCCAGGAGTTGGCGGATGCTTTAGTCCAGGTCTGGGAGGAGATCCCTCAGGAGACCATCCACCACCTCATCAGGAGCATGCCCAGGCGTTGTAGGGAGGTCATACAGGCACGTGGAGGCCACACACACTACTGAGCCTCATTTTGACTTGTTTTAAGGACATTACATCAAAGTTGGATCAGCCTGTAGTGTGGTTTTCCACTTTAATTTTGAGGGTGACTCCAAATCCAGACCTCCATGGGTTGATAAATTTGATTTCCATTCATAATTTTTGTGTGATTTTGTTTTCAGCACATTCAACTATGTAAAGAAAAAAGCATTTAATAAGATGATTTCATTCATTCAGATCTAGGATGTGTTATTTTAGTGTTCCCTTTATTTTTTTGAGCAGTGTATATAGGTAGGGATAAAGTAGCAGCAGCGTATGTGACGAGTCAAAAGAGTTAGTGCAAAAAGGGTCAATGCAGATATTCCGGGTAGCTAGATCTAGGATGTGTTATTTTAGTGTTCCTTAATTTTTTTGACCAGTGTATATATATATATATATATATATATATATATATATATATATATATATGTATATATATACATACAGTGGGGAGAACAAGTATTTGATACACTGCCGATTTTGCAGGTTTTCCTACTTACAAAGCATGTAGAGGTCTGTAATTTTTAATCATAGGTACACTTCAACTGTGAGAGATGGAATCTAAAACAAAAATCCAGAAAATCACATTGTATGATTTTTAAGTAATTAATTTGCATTTTATTACATGACATAAGTATTAGATACATCAGAAAAGCAGAACTTAATATTTGGTACAGAAACCTTTGTTTGCAATTACAGAGATCGAAACGTATGATCTCTGTAATTGCAAACAAAGGTTTCTGTACCAAATATTAAATTCTGCTTTTCTGATGTAGGTCTTGACCAGGTTTGCACACACTGCAGCAGGGATTTTGGCCCACTCCTCCATACAGACCTTCTCCAGATCCTTCAGGTTTCGGGGCTGTCGCTGGGCAATACGGACTTTCAGCTCCCTCCAAAGATTTTCTATTGGGTTCAGGTCTGGAGTCTGGCTAGGCCACTCCAGGACCTTGAGATGCTTCTTACGGAGTCACTCCTTAGTTGCCCTGGCAGTGTGTTTCGGGTCGTTGTCATGCTGGAAGACCCAGCCACGACCTATCTTCAATGCTCTTACTGAGGGAAGGAGGTTGTTGGCCAAGATCTCGCGATACATGGCCCCATCCATCCTCCACTCAATACGGTGCAGTCGTCCTGTCCCCTTTGCAGAAAAGCATCCTCAAAGAATGATGTTTACACCTTCATGCTTCACGGTTGGTATGTTGTTCTTGGGGTTGTACTCATCCTTCTTCTTCCTCCAAACACGGCGAATGGAGCTTAGACCAAAAAGCTCTATTTTTGTCTCATCAGAACACATGACCTTCTCCCATTCCTCCTCTGGATCATCCAGATGGTCATTGGCAAACTTCAGACTGGCCTGGACATGCGCTGGCTTGAGCAGGGGGACCTTGCGTGCACTGCAGGATTTTAATCCATGCCGGCGTAGTGTGTTACTAATTGTTTTCTAAAATGTTATAAAATGTTATTCGTAATGTACACAGTTTACAGCAGGTATAACATGTGCAGTTAAATGCTTGTATGCTCCCTCAACATTACAATAATCAACATCTACAATAGGATATACAGAGTAGATCATGAACAATAGGATATACAGAATAGATGATGAATGTGCTATGTCAAGTATGACTGTATTTACAAATATAAAGTGGGTAGTGTCTTGATCACACAGTTGAATAAATAGTATATAACATGTGGTCCTTTGTAGCTCAGTTGGTAGAGCATGGTGCTTGTAACGCCAGGGTAGTGGGTTCGATCCCCGGGACCACACGTGTGAAATGTATGCGCGCATGACTGTAAGTCACTTTGAATAAAAGTGTCTGCTAAATGGCATATATTATTATTATTATTATTATTATTATTATTATAGAACAGCAGTGTGTGTGTGTGTGTGTGAGAGAGAGTATTTGTGTTTATTTATGTGTGCTTGTGAGTAAGGGTTGGATGTGTGGAGAGGCATTGCAAATAGTCTCTAAGGTGCAGGTAGTCTCTAAGGTGCAGGTGGTCCCTGAGGTGCAGATAGTCTATGAGGTGCAGGTGGTCTCTGAGGTGCAAATAGTCCTAAAGGTGCAAATAGTCTTAAAGGTGCAAAAATGTCTCTAAGGTGCTGGTAGTCTCTAAGGTGCAGGCAGTCTCTGAGGTGCAGGTAGTCTCTGAGGTGAAGATAGTATCTGAGGTTGAGGTAGTCTCTGAGGTGCAGATAGTCTCTGAGGTGCAGATAGTCTCTGAGGTGCAAATAGTCTCTAAGGTGCAGATAGTCTCTGAGGTGCAGGTAGTCTCTAAGGTGCAGATAGTCTCTAAGGAGCAGATAGTCTCTGAGGTGCAGATAGTCTCTGAGGTGCAGGTAATCTCCGAGGTGCAAATAGTCCTAAAGGTGCAAATAGTCTTAAAGGTGCAAATAGTCTTAAAGGTGCAAATAGTCTCTAAGGTGCAAATAGTCTCTAAGGTGCAAATAGTCTCTAAGGTGCAGATAGTCTCTAAAGTGCAGATATTCTCTAAGGTGCATGTAGTCTCTAAGGTGCAGATAGTCTCTAAGGTTTAGGTATTCTCTAAGGTACATGTAGTCTCTAAGGTGCAGATAGTCTCTGAGGTGCAGGTAGTCTCTGAGGTGCAGATAGTCTCTAAGGTGCAGGTCTGTGCAGGGAGACAGCCAGGGTTAGCAGTGAGTGTTGTTAGACTGTAGGTGGCTTTGAGATTGTTGTTTCTCTTCATGTTTTTATTTCTAGGTAGCTGGTCTTGAAACAGTTCTGGGGACAAAAGAGCTGTGGGCCATGATGCTATCCCTGTCTCTGATACCTGCCCTGCTACAGTACCTGACCCTCCCCTTCTGCCCTGAGAGCCCCAGATACCTGCTCATCAACAGGGGCCAGGAGATCCAGGCAGAGACTGGTGGGTAGCACTGTCACACACGGTACACACCATTGTAGGTGTAGTAATATTTTATATGTGTATATACAGTTAATTATATATACCTCACATGTGACTCGTAATAAGACTATGCAATTAGCCCATTTACTGAATTAACTACATAAATATTATTTAGCAATATGCAAGAACATTATAGTTGAGTTACAGCAATGAAGAAACATCTGAAAATGGAATTCTAAATAAAATCGCATTTAAATTACGAGACAGACAAGTGACCTTGGAGCCTATTTGTGCTCTGTTCTAACAAATCTCTCTGCGTGTCATGTAGAAATGACCTAGTCTAATCATGCTCTTTTTCCACATGCTTGAAGTTCTGATTTTAACTGCTCTATTTTGCGCTCTGATGTCCTCCAGGGTTTCACAGTCGTATCTAGCACGTTCAACGCTAGTTTGCCGCGATTCATTCTTCTTCGCTATTCATTCATTCTTCTTCTTCTCTTCATTGTGTAAAAACACAACAAGCATCTTAGATTGTTTCTTATTCAGTATATTGGCAGTAATGAAGACTTTCGTCCCAAATCAAATGTAAAACCGTACTTATCCTTTTTGATCAAATCATTAATACGAGTCGATTTGCCATAACTCAAAAATATCAATTGCTTGCATATTCACCATCATGTAAGCTATGTATTCGTTATGTGTATATAGGGGAATCTAACGGAATAAACTCCAATTTAGTCTAAAGTATCCGTAAGATACAAGAAGTCGGAAGCCGCCATTTACTGTACCTCCAAAGTTCCTAATGATATATCACGTCGGGGTCACCATTTACTGTAGTGTAGTAATATTTGATATGTGTATTGTTACGTTTCCCTGCAAGAAAACCAAAAAATGTCGCTCAAACAGAAGGGGGAACTAACAAAGAGGCACTGACCAACAACCAAACTGAAACAAGTGGGGTTTTAGGAGGGGTTCTGAAAGACACTCATGGGGTTGTCAAGGGAAAGTTGACTAGCAACAACAACTGGAACATAAAAAGACACCCACCATGGGCGCCCATTCAATTTGCCCAAGAAGAGGCAAACAAAAGAAAAACCCCAACCAGACCAAACTTAAAGACAGGAAGCAAACTGCAAAATGAAAACAGGGAAATCAGACAAAAGGAATGTTTTTCAAGAAATCAACTAAAAGGTGTTGATCCTCCATATATCTCTCAAGACAACTGGAGAACTGGGCCAGCCACTCTGAAATATCACCTGGGCCAGCACAGGTGTCACACATACTGACTAACGAGGTGACACCAATCGGTGCGCCCTATGTGCTAACGAGCTATACGTGCTAAGGTCCAACCTCAAAATATAAATAGAAAAACCAAAGCCTGTAAAAGTATATACAGTATATTATATATTATTATAAAAGTATATACAGTATATTATATATACCTCTGGTAGAGTTTATGTCACTGATATCCCCTTGAGGGGTTATAAGATTGGTGGAATAATTTTGAAAGTTGCATAAACACACAGGATTTTAAAAAGCCATAGACTAAGTTGGATGCCTTTGTGGAAAACCCTACACAGGATATGCTAGATACAGTGCCTTGCAAAAGTATTCATCTCCCTTTGCATTTTTCCTATTTTGTTGCATTACAACCTGTAATTTAAATTGATTTTTATTTGGATTTCATGTAATGGACATACACAAAATAGTCCAAATTGGTGAAGTGAAATGAAAAAAATAACTGTGCGTATGTATTAACCCCCTTTGCTATGAAGCCCCTAAATAAGATCTGGTGAACTAATTACCTTCAGAAGTCATATAATTAGTTAAATGAAGTCCACATGTGTGCAATCTAAGTGTCACATGATCTGTCACATGATCTCAGTATATATACACCTGTTCTGAAAGGCCCCAGAGTCTGCAACACCACTAAGCAAGGGGCACCACCAAGCAAGTAGCACCATGAAGGAGCTCTCCAAACAGGTCAGGGACAAAGTTGTGGAGAAGTTATAAAAAAATATCAGAAAATGTGAACATCCCCCAGAGCACCATTAAATCCATTATAAAAAAATGGAAAGAATATGGCACCACAACAAACCTGCCAAGAGAGGGCCGCCCACCAAAACTCACAGAACAGGCAAGGAGGGCATTAATCAGAGAGGCAACAAAGAGATGAAAGATAACCCTGAAGGAGCTGCAAAGTTCCACAGCGGAGATTGGAGTATCTGTCCATAGGACCACTTTAAGCCGTACACTCCACAGAGCTGGGCTTTACGGAAGAGTGGCCAGAAAAAAAGCCATTGCTTTGAGAAAGAAATTAGCAAACACGTTTGGTGTTCACAAAAAAGGCATGTGGGAGACTCCTCAAACATATGGAAGAAGATGCTCTGGTCAGATGAGAATAAAATTGAGCTTTTTGGCCATCAAGGAAAGCGCTATGTCTGACGCAAACCCAACACTTCTCATCACCCCGAGAACAGCATGGTGGTGGCAGCATCATGCTGTGGGGATGTTTTTTTATCGGCAGCGACTGGGAAACTAGTCAGAATTGAAGGAATGATGGATGGCGCTAAATACAGGGAAATTCTTGAGGGAAACCTGTTTCAGTCTTCCAGAGATTTGAGACTGGGACGGAGGTTCACCTTCCAGCAGGACAATGACCCTAAGCATACTGCTAAAGCAACACTTGAGTGGAGCAGTTTTGCCTCAAAGAATGGGCAAAAATCCCAGTGGCTAGATGTGCCAAGCTTATAGAGACATACCCCAAGAGACTTGCAGCTGTAATTGCTGCAAAAGGTGGCTCTACAAAGTATTGACTTTGGGGGGGTGAATAGTTGTGCACGCTCAAGTTTTCTGTTTTTTTTGTCTTATTTCTTGTTTGTTTCACAATAAAAACTATTTTGCATCTTCAAAGTGGTAGGCATGTTGTGCAAATCAAATGATACAAACCCTCAAAAAAATCCATTTTAATTCCAGGTTGTAAGGCAAAAAAATAGGAAAAATGCCAAGGGGGGTGAATACTTTCGCGAGCCCACTGTAAATGTACGAAGGCGAATCTGCTCATCATTGCAAAGCATTATGACATCAAAGTTGCACATGCCGATTCAAAAGCAGTAGTCAGAGTGAGTTTATACTGCTTTGGTAGAAGAGGAAATCCTTCCGGAAGGATCCTAGAGGTGGTAGAGTACGCTCCATAGACCGGCAGCTGCGAGAGGTAGAACCAAAATAAAAATGGGAACAACTGAAATTTCGAGCTTGAGCACTGGGAAAGACAAGAAGAACATGCAGCCAGACTAGAACAAGAAGAACGTGCAGCCAGACTAGAACATGAACAAGAAGAACGTGCAGCCAGACTAGAACAAGAAGAACGTGCAGCCAGACTAGAACATGAACAAGAAGAACGTGCAGCCAGATTAGAACATGAACAAGAAGAACGTGCAGCCAGACTAGAACATGAACAAGAAGAACGTCCAGCCAGACTAGAACATGAACAAGAAGAACGTGCAGCCAGACTAGAACATGAACAAGAAGAACGTGCAGCCAGACTAGAACATGAACAAGAAGAACGTGCAGCCAGACTAGAACAAGAACAAGAAGAACGTGCAGCCAGTCTAGAACATGAACAAGAAGAACGTGCAGCCAGACAAGAACAAGAAGAACGTGCAGCCAGACTAGAACATGAACAAGAAGAACGTGCAGCCAGACTAGAACAAGAAGAACGTGCAGCCAGTCTAGAACATGAACAAGAAGAACGTGCAGCCAGACAAGAACAAGAAGAACGTGCAGCCAGACTAGAACATGAACAAGAAGAACGTGCAGCCAGACTAGAACATGAACAAGAAGAACGTCCAGCCAGACTAGAACAAGAAGAACGTGCAGCCAGACTAGAACATGAACAAGAAGAACGTCCAGCCAGACTAGAACATGAACAAGAAGAACGTGCAGCCAGACTAGAACATGAACAAGAAGAACGTGCAGCCAGACTAGAACATGAACAAGAAGAACGTCCAGCCAGACTAGAACAAGAAGAACGTGCAGCCAGACTAGAACATGAACAAGAAGAACGTCCAGCCAGACTAGAACATGAACAAGAAGAACGTGCAGCCAGACTAGAACATGAACAAGAAGAACGTGCAGCCAGACTAGAACATGAACAAGAAGAACGTCCAGCCAGACTAGAACATGAACAAGAAGAACGTTTAGCCAGACTAGAACAAAAACAAGAAGAACGTCCAGCCAGACTAGAACATGAACAAGAAGAACGTGCAGCCAGACTAGAACATGAACAAGAAGAACGTGCAGCCAGACTAGAACATGAACAAGAAGAATGTAAAAAGAGATTGAGCTGGAAGAGCGACAAAGGGAGATAGATGTGGAAGCACTCCGAATCCAGTCAGGCCATCCGGCATCCTCAAAAGGAAGTGGATATACAGTACCAGTCAAAAGTTTGTTCACACCTACTCATTCAAGGGTTTTTCTTTATTTGTACCGTTTTTTTACATTGTAGAATAACATCAAAACTATGAAATAACTCATATGGCATCATGTAGTAACCAAAAAAGTTTTAAACAAATCAAAATATATTTTATATTTGAGATTCTTCAAATAGCCACCCTTTGCCTTGATGACAGCTTTGCACACAACCCAAGGATTGTGATGTACTTCACATTTATGAGCACAAGGATCTCACTCTTGAGAAATCTGCAGTTCTTGCAGGTGAGTTTATGTCAACACATAAAACTACCATCATAAACAAAGCACCCAGTAGCTATCCCTACGCAAAAAGCAATCCAGAGAAGTCAACTCCTACTGCGAGGTTTCAGTCCTTTTCTACAGTGCCCAAAGTTAAAGATCGGCAGACAACTGGTTTTAGGTATCCACCAGTTTGTCATTACTGCCGTGAAAAAGGACACATTGTCTCTCAGTGTCCTAAGTTGAAACAGAACAATGAGAGAGAGAAAAAAAAGCAGTTTCTTCTTGTGGGAGCACTCCAGCCCATTAGGTCTCTGGTTGGGACTGGTGTATCTCCTTGGATCAGATGTGTATGAACCTTTTGTTTCAGACGGGTTCGTGACTCTGCAGAGTTGCGATACTGTTAAGCATCCGAGACACTGGGGGAGCCCAGTCCATCATTTTGGAGGGTGTTTTACCTTTGTCTGACACTTCAGCAACTGGTTACAGTGTGTTAGTACAAGGCGTGGAGATGGGGTTGCATGGAAGCTCCTTTGTATAATGTGGAACTCTAGTCTGGTCTTATTTCTGGTTCCGTTGTCGTGGGAGCGAGGCCTAGCCTACCGGTGAATGGGGTCTCATTCATTTTGGGAAACGATTTGGCTGGAGGGAAGGTCGTGACTGTCATTTGGGAAGGTTAGAAACCCAGAGTAGGGGAACCTGATGGGTTATCAGTAAAGTACCCTAGAGTGTTCCCAGCATGTAAGGACCCCAGAGTAGAGGAACCTGATGGGTTATCAGTAAAGTACCCTGGAGTGTTCCCAGAGTAGGGGAACCTGATGGGTTATCAGTAAAGTACCCTAGAGTGTTCCCAGCGTGTGAGGAACCCAGAGTAGGGGAACCTGATGGGTTATCAGGAAAGTAACCCTAGAGTGTTCCCAGCGTGTGCTGTTACACGTGCTATGTCTATGAAAGTCTACCGTGTGCAAGTGTTGAGGAGGATGTCAGAGATCCCACCATGGTCCATCTGTCTGAGACATTTATGGGTGATCCTGATTTCGCTAAACCTCCTGAGTTGACCTCTCCTTTGAAAACCTCAGTGTATTTAATTACTTTGTAAAATGAACAAACAAGGTGTTTTTTGTATTTTATTCGTCTTGTTTCTTTATGCTGAAGGTTGGGCATTAAGTCCCAGACAATGTCATGTCTAGTTTAGTGGATCCATGTCTGTGAATTGTTAAGTTGTCTATTGTATATTGTCCAAAAGATTGTAATCTTTAAAAAATATATTGAAAAAAATAACAGGGTCCAGGAGACCCAGGCAGAGGCAGGTGGGTAGTTCTGTCACACACAGTAAACTTTACTATCAACAGGGTCCAGGTTACTATCAACAGGGTCCAGGTTACTATCAACAGGGTACAAGTTACTATCAACAGGGTCCAGGTTACTATCAACAGGGTCCAAGTTACTATCAACAGGGTCCAGGTTACTATCAACAGGGTCCAAGTAACTATCAACAGGGTCCAGGTTACTATCAACAGGGTACAAGTAACTATCAACAGGGTCCAAGTTACTATCAACAGGGTCCAAGTTACTATCAACAGGGTCCAAGTTACTATCAACAGGGTCCAGGTTACTATCAACAGGGTCCAGGTTACTATCAACAGGGTACAAGTAACTATCAACAGGGTCCAGGTTACTATCAACAGGGTACAAGTAACTATCAACAGGGTCCAAGTTACTATCAACAGGGTCCAGGTTACTATCAACAGGGTCCAAGTTACTATCAACAGGGTCCAAGTTACTATCAACAGGGTCCAGGTTACTATCAACAGGGTCCAGGTTACTATCAACAGGGTCCAGGTTACTATCAACAGGGTCCAAGTTACTCTCAACAGGGTCCAGGTTACTATCAACAGGGTCCAGGTTACTATCAACAGGGTCCAAGTTACTATCAACAGGGTCCAGGTTACTATCAACAGGGTCCAAGTTACTATCAACAGGGTCCAGGTTACTATCAACAGGGTCCAAGTTACTATCAACAGGGTCCAGGTTACTATCAACAGGGTCCAAGTTACTATCAACAGGGTCCAGGTTACTATCAACAGGGTCCAGGTTACTATCAACAGGGTCCAGGTTACTATCAACAGGGTCCAAGTTACTATCAACAGGGTCCAGGAGACCCAGACAGGGTCCAGGTTACTATCAACAGGGTCCAGGAGACCCAGACAGGGTCCAGGTTACTATCAACAGGGTCCAGGTTACTATCAACAGGGTCCAGGTTACTATCAACAGGGTCCAGGTTACTATCAACAGGGTCCAGGTTACTATCAACAGGGTCCAGGTTACTATCAACAGGGTCCAGGAGACCCAGACACGGTCCAGGTTACTATCAACAGGGTCCAGGAGACCCAGACAGGGTCCAGGTTACTATCAACAGGGTCCAGGAGACCCAGACACGGTCCAGGTTACTATCAACAGGGTCCAGGAGACCCAGACAGAGGCAGATGGATAGTACTGTCACACACAGTAAATTTAGGGCGGGATCCAATCAGGTCAGCAGTAGATCCACCATTTTGACGATGATGTTGTTGTTATTTTGTTGTTGTTGACCCCAGCCTTGCGGCGTCTGAGAGGCCCGTCAGACAAGGTGTTCACAGAGCTGGAGGAGATGAAGGATGAGGCGGCTCACACCCAATCAGCCCTCACCGTCAAGGAGTTCTTCACGAAACACTCCTACCGACAGCCAATCATCATCGTCCTCATCGTTAACCTGGGCTCCCAGCTCTCTGGCTTCAACGCGGTATGTAGTTTTAGATAAAAGACTGAGTCGTTTTATTTAAAATGCATTTGTCCAGGTCTGTCTCATTGAGATAAGAAACTATTTTGCAAAAGAGACCTGAACATTTTGTAGTGAGTAATCTGTTCTCTATGGGGTATTTATTGAGACCTGAACATTTTGTAGTAAGTAATGTGTTCTCTATGGTCTATTTATTGAGTAATTAATACATTAAATAGAAGGAAAATATTTAACCACTGATTCCTCTTTAGTTACAAAGATTTTCAGTGAGAGGAAAAACATGTACATAATGTCCCCTTGATGCTTATCAGACTAGAGGACTAGCAGACTAGCACCAGACTGGCACCAGACTACCAGACTAGCAGCAGACTACCAGACTAGCAGTCTACCAGACTACCAGACTAGCAATCTACCAGACTAGCAACAGACTAACAGCAGACTACCAGACTAGCAGACTAGCAGTCTACCAGACTAGCAGCAGACTAGCAGAAGACTGCCACACTAACAGCAGACTAGCAGACTAACAGCAGACTACCAGACTAGCAGCAGGCTACCAGACTAGCAGACTACTGGACTAACAGACTACCCGATTACCAGACTAGCAACAGACTACCACACTAGCAGCAGATTAGCAGACTAGCAGACTAGCAGACTACCAGACTAGCAGACTAGCAGACTACTAGACTAGCAGGCTACTATAGCAAACCAGCAGACTACTAGACTAGCAGGCTAGCAGCAAGCTAGCAGACTAGCACACTAACAGACTGGCACCAGACTAGCAGACAAGCAGACTAGCATACTAGCAGACTACCAGCAGACTAGCAGACTGGCAGTCTACCAGATTATCAGCAGACTACCAGACTAGCAGCAGACTAGCAGACTTGTAGACTACTAGACTAGCGTTCTACCAGACTACCAGAATACCAGACTAGCAGACTAAAAGCAGACTAGCGCACTAGCAGACTACTAAATTACCAGACTAGCAGGAGACTAGCAGAAGATTACCAGACTAGCAGAAAAACTAGAATAACAGACTAGCAGAAAAATGTAGACTAGCAGACTACTAGACTAGCAGAACAGCAGAAAAGCAGCAGATTAACAGACTAGCAGCAGACTAACAAACTAGCAGCAGACTACCAGAATACTAGACAATCAGACTACTAGATTAGCAACCTACTAGACTAGCAGAGGACTACCAGACTACCAGACTAGCAGCAGACTACCAGACTAGAAGACAACTAGACTAGCAGACTAGCAGGAAAGCAGCGGACTAGCAGACTAACAGACCAGCGGAGACTAGCAGCAGACTAGCAGCAGACTACCTGACTATCAGACTATCAGTGGACTACCAGACTTGCAGACTTGCAAATGGCTAGACTAGCAGACTGCTAGACTAGCAGACCTGCAGACTAGCAGCAGACTAGCAACAAACTAGACGCCTAGCAGACAACCAGCAGACTAGCAGACTACCAAACCACCAGAATAGCAGCATACTAGCAGAAGACTACCAGACTGCCAGACTAGCAGCAGACTACCAGACTAGCAGACAACTAGACTAGCAGACTACTAGACTAGCAGACTAGCAGAAAAGCAGCAGACTACCAGACTATCAGAACAACAGACTAGCAGCAGACTAGCAGCAGATTAGCAGACTAGCAGACTAGCTGCAGACTAGCAGACTAGCAGCAAACTAGCAGACCAGACTTCCAACAGACTAGCTGCAGACTAGCAGCAGACTACCGGACTAGCAGCAGACTACCAGACTAGCAGCAGACTACCAGACTAGCACCAGACTACCAGACTGGCAGCAGACTACCAGACTAGCAGCAGACTAGCAGACTGGCAGACTAGCAGCAGACTACCAGATTAGCAGACTAGCAGCAGACTACCAGACTAGCAGCAGACTACCATACGACCGGACTAGCAGCAGACTACCAGACTAGCAGTAGACTACAAGACTAGCAGCAGACTACAAGACTAACAGCAGAACTACCAGACTGGCAGCAGACTACCAGACTAGCAGCAGACTACCATACGACCGGACTAGCAGCAGACTACCAGACTAGCAGTAGACTACAAGACTAGCAGCAGACTACAAGACTAACAGCAGAACTACCAGACTGGCAGCAGACTACCAGACTGGCAGCAGACTACCAGACTAGCACCAGACAACCACAGACTAGCAGCAGACTACCAGACTGGCAGCAGACTACCAGACTAGCAGCAGACTACCAGACTAGCAGCAGACTAGCAGACTGGCAGACTAGCACCAGACAACCGCAGACTAGCAGCAGACTAGCAGACTGGCAGAGTAGCACCAGACAACCGCAGACTAGCAGACTAGCAGCAGACTACCAGACTTGCTGTTATTTGCTAAAGCCTCAGCACTTCTCCCTCTCCTCTCTCCAGAGTTGATTCTGCGACATTGTGTCAGGATGGAGCTTCAGGCTATCCTGCTGCTCAGTAGGGAACCAGGCTGAAGGAAAGACGGGCAACACATGGAGGGTTTAAAACATATACTTCTCATTTTCCAGATCATCAATTATTCCACCAAGATGTTTGACAAGGCTAACTTTGACGAAGCCAAGTACCTGACGCTGGGGGTCGGGGCCGTGAACGTGACCTTTACTCTGGTGGCGGTGAGGAGATAACACTAGAGTAATCTCATCTGTAATCTCACCTGGTATGAATTATGGAGGCTCACCTGTAATCTCACCTGTTATGAAGTATGGAGACTCACCTGTAATCTCACCTGTTATGAAGTATGGAGACTCACCTGTAATCTCACCTGTTATGAAGTATGGAGACACACCTGTAATCTCACCTGTTATGAAGTATGGAGACTCACCTGTAATCTCACCTGTTATGAAGTATGGAGACTCACCTGTAATCTCACCTGTTATGAAGTATGGAGACTCACCTGTAATCCACCTGTTGAAGTATGAGACTCACCTGTAATCTCACCTGTTTATGAAGTATGGAGACTCACCTGTAATCTCACCTGTTATGAAGTATGGAGACTCACCTGTAATCTCACCTGTTATGAAGTATGGAGACTCACCTGTGATTTTGTGTCTGTTTCTCCTCCTCAGTTCTTCCTTGATGGAGAGGGCGGGGCGTAGGAAACTGCTTTTGACTGGCTTCCTGTGTCTAGCTGTGTGCAACCTCTCCATGACCCTCATCGACTCAGTCCTGGTAACCCTAACCACACCTACACTAACCCTAAATTATACAATCTATTATATTAAACAATTGTCCATCCGAGTGTTGTCCATCCGAGTGTTGTCCATCCGAGTGTTGTCCATCCGAGTGTTGTCCATCGAGTGTTGTCCATCCGAGTGTTGTCCATCCGAGTGTTGTCCATCGAGTGTTGTCCATCCGAGTGTTGTCCATCCGAGTGTTGTCCATCCGAGTGTTGTCCATCTGAGTGTTGTCCATCCGAGTGTTGTCCATCCGAGTGTTGTCCATCCGAGTGTTGTCCATCCGAGTGTTGTCCATCCGAGTGTTGTCCATCCGAGTATTGTCCATCCGAGTGTTGTCCATCCGAGTGTTGTCCATCCGAGTGTTGTCCATCCGAGTGTTGTCCATCCGAGTGTTGTCCATCCGAGTGTTGTCCATCCGAGTGTTGTCCAGCTGTGTGCTGTCCATTTGAGTGTTGTCCATCCGAGTGTTGTCCATCCGAGTGTACCTTTTTGGTGACTCTCTACCTGTAGGTGTAATACATTATGATGCTGTTATTCAACATGGTCTAAGGACAATTCGTATTATTCTATATGTAAATCTATGACAAGGTTAGGGGAACTAATGACAAAGGTTAGGATAACTAATGACAAAGGTTAGGGGAATTGGGTTAAGTTTAGAATAAGGGTTAGGGGAAGGGTTAGCTAAAATGCTACAATTGCCCCCGATGTGACTCGAAACAGGCAACCTTTGAATTGCTAGACTGTCGCGGATTACGCCCACTCATCCTCCCCGACCAATATAAGATTTATTGAGTGATTGATCTGCCCTTTAGTTCCTTGTCCCAGAGCTGCGTAGCCTGCAGGTGTTGGTCGTGTTCTTCCTGATCTCAGCGTATGAGGTGGGACCTGGTCCTATTTCCTGGTTCATCGCTGCAGAGCTGTTTGACCAGCCAGCCAGACCCATCGCCATGGCCTTCACCAGCATGCTCAACTGGGGAGGGAAGTTCATGCTGGCTCTGCTCTTCCCTCCGCTACTGGTACGTTTAACATCGTCTGTGTCATAGGATAGCTGGAATACAGCACCAATGGTACATGACAATACGGCACCAATGGTACATGACAATACGGCACCAATGGTACATGACAATACGGCACCAATGGTACATGACAATATGGCACCAATGGTACATGACAATATGGCACCAATGGTACATGACAATACGGCACCAATGGTACATGACAATACGGCACCAATGGTACATGACAATACGGCACCAATGGTACATGACAATACGGCACCAATGGTACATGACAAGGGAACTGGATCTGGACCTAGAGGTCTCAAGGTTTAGTTCCTGAAGGGGTATGAATGACTCCTTATCTAGGTAATTAGAGCTAATACGTCCATTCATCAACATACAGTTATAGGAAAAGATGGGGTGGTTTGATATCATAGACAGGACTATCTTCTAAAATGAATCAATGAAATGTAAAGCAATTTCCAGTTGTGTTAACTCTCTGCTCCTGTGGGTGTCTCTCTCTGTAGAAAGTGTGTGGTGCTTACGTGTACCTCCTCTTTATGACCATGGCTCTGACAGCCTTCAGCTTCACCTGGAGACGCCTACCTGAGACCAAGGGACGCACCTTCGATGACATCGCAGCCGAGTTCCGAGGGCCCGAGGGCATCCCCCTGCACAATAAGACTGGTTTCAACACCTTCCCCTGACCTGACCGCCCTGGCCCCTCCCACCTCACCCCTGACCCAGCAGATAGCCTCCCGCCCTGGAGGTCGACGGGTGTACTGGGGGTCACGGAGGTCTGATTTTGGTTCAGTCTTCACATGGAACACATGTTTTATTGTATTTAACCTTTGTTTAACCAGGTAGTCAGAAGACGTGATGGGACTGATACAGGACTTCAGGTGGTGGCCTCCCTCACTGTTGTCTGTTTTCTGATGACATGTACATTTCTAAACATCAAAAATATGATTGCCTCTGTTACTGTAGTAGTCACACATACAGTGAGGGAAAAAAGTATTTGATCCCCTGCTGATTTTGTACGTTTGCCCACTGACAAAGAAATGATCAGTCTATAATTTTAATGGTAGGTTTATTTGAACAGTGAGAGACAGAATAACAACAAAAATCCAGACAAATGCATGTAAAAAATGTTATAAATTGATTTGCATTTTAATGGGGGAAATAAGTATTTGACCCCCTCTCAATCAGAAAGATTTCTGGCTCCCAGGTGTCTTTTATACAGGTAACGAGCTGAGATTAGGAGCACACTCTTAAAGGGAGTGCTCCTAATCTCAGCTCGTTACCTGTATAAAAGACACCTGTCCACAGAAGCAATCAATCAATCAGATTCCAAACTCTCCACCATGGCCAAGACCAAAGAGCTCTCCAAGGATGTCAGGGACAAGATTGTAGACCTACACAAGGCTGGAATGGGCTACAAGACCATCGCCAAGCAGCTTGGTGAGAAGGTGACAACAGTTGGTGCAATTATTCGCAAATGGAAGAAACACAAAATAACTGTCAATCTCCCTCGGCCTAGCGCTCCATGCAAGATCTCACCGCGTGGAGTTGCAATGATCATGAGAACGGTGAGGAATCAGCCCAGAACTACACGGGAGGATCTTGTCAATGATCTCAAGGCAGCTGGGACCATAGTCACCAAGGAAACAATTGGTAACACACTACGCCGTGAAGGACTGAAATCCTGCAGCGCCTGCAAGGTCCCCCTGCTCAAGAAAGTACATATACAGGGCCCGTCTGAAGTTTGCCAATGAACATCTGAATGATTCAGAGGAGAACTGGGTGAAAGTGTTGTGGTCAGATGAGACCAAAATCGAGCTCTTTGGCATCAACTCAACTCGCTGTGTTTGGAGGAGGAGGAATGCTGCCTATGACCCCAAGAACACCATCCCCACCGTCAAACATGGAGGTGGAAACATTATGCTTTGGGGGTGTTTTTCTGCTAGGGGGACAGGAACAACTTCACCGCATCAAAGGGACGATGGACGGGACCATGTACCGTCAAATCTTGGGTGAGAACCTCCTTCCCTCAGCCAGGGTATTGAAAATGGGTCGTGGATGGGTATTCCAGCATGACAATGACCCAAAACACACGGCCAAGGCAACAAAGGAGTGGCTCAAGAAGAAGCACATTAAGGTCCTGGAGTGGCCTAGCCAGTCTCCAGACCTTAATCCCATAGAAAATCTGTGGAGGGAGCTGAAGGTTCGAGTTGCCAAACGTCAGCCTAGAAACCTTAATGACTTGGAGAAGATCTGCAAAGAGGAGTGGAACAAAATCCCTCCTGAGATGTGTGCAAACCTGGTGGCCATCTACAAGAAACGTCTGACCTCTGTGATTGCCAACAAGGGTTTTGCCACCAAGTACTAAGTCATTGGGGAGTGTTGTCAAACTTTATTTTTTTTTGCTTTGGGGAGGGTTATGTTATTTTTTTATTGGGACATGAGAGGGTAGTATGTTTTTTCCCTGGTTTACATTTGCTCTTCTGCACGTATTTTCCCTATAAACAATGGTTTGACTTACCCTAATAAAGTTTAGAAACGTTTGTGAAGGTTTGGTTTGGTGTGGCTATTATTAAGCTGAAGCTATTACAGGCCTATGATATGAAGGCAGTGGGCACCAGCGCTCCAACTGACTCCAACAGTTGAACTGTTTCAGGCCTACCAGAGTTACTCCTATAATCTAACAATCGTATCTTTATACAAAATATTCTGATAGAAAATTTTACGAATTACCCTCCTGTACGTCTATATCTGTATGGCAGACGCAGTAGCCATCTGACATAAAGAAATGCATGTTGGTGTCGTAGCAGTCTCTCTGGGGTTAGGCCTAAGCTTCACTTCCATACATACAGTGGGGAGAACAAGCATTTGATACACTGCCGAATTTGCAGGTTTTTCTACTTACAAAGCATGTAGAGGTCTGTAATTTTTATCATAGGTACACTTCAACTGTGAGAGACGGAATCTAAAACAAAAATGCAGTTGTTCTCCCCACTGTATATATGTGTGTGTGTGTGTGTGTGTGGATTTATTAAAATGTTAACATCAGACTATGGACACCTAAGACTGTGGGCCTATGCATAAAATGCCCTGATACATTTAGCGCTCAAATCTCTGACAGCTGAACCATGAGATGGACAATTATTGTTTTAGGAAAGTAGCCTAAAAACCAATAAAAAATACATTACATTTCTCAAATGTCCGGTAAATTAATATCTTCCCTGTCATGTTGTCCGTCGCCACATTTTCATAAAGGAAACTCTGAATATTGTTTCTATAAAGGCTTTTGAATATTCACATGAAAATCTGTCGCCAATTAGATGGAAACCTAGTTAGTGCGCTAGTTCAGTGTTACTTTGATCATGACTGCACATCATGGTTCACCAGCAGCCCAAACAACTAAACAATAAGCTCCAAGCCAAACAAGCTGGCGAGAACTGTTCTCATACTCCCCCTCACACTCATCTGGAGGTTGAGCATTTTTTCGTCTCTATCTCTGTAATGTGTCTCTCTAATGCAAAAAATAGGAAATAAATCCCCGACTTTATTGTGCAATCCCGGTCACTTAAAAAAAGAAATATTTATATATATATATATGTATTTTTTTTTACTGACAAATAAAATCAATCCAAACTGTGTAGTGGCCATTTGATGAATGGAAAAAGACATCTGAATAACGTAGATTGTGAAGCCGAGCCTTCGATACTGGGTAGACTTATAAGGTAGGGAGGGATGTATGTTCTGTTTGTCCAGGTTGACACAGTCTATTTATTGTGGCTTTGAAAACGCAAACCATGATATTGAAGCGCCCGAAGTCGGTATGCTTTGTTCATTGGTTGTGTGGTGCATTGGCACAGAAACCTGTTGGTGGAAAATTCGTTGCACATATTGTATATAATTATAAATATGGCATCATAAATGTTGAAAATCTGATTTCCACCTAGCTGATCATTGTCGGCAGCCGGCTCTGAAACAGGCAGGGAGGGTGAGCTCGTCTGTGATGGTCGGCGAACCCCCAACCTTCTGGCCCATAGCCCTGCGTGGCAACGACTGTGCCACTAAAGCATGCTGAAGTTATTGTGGTTTGTGGTCGTAAACATTATTTTGGGTTAATTATATTAGGGGGGAGGGTGTTCCATTTATTTTACCGTAAAAGGGGAGGGACATGTGAAAATATGTTTAACTTTGAGGAGGGGGGTGCATTTCTTTTTTTTATGACACCTTGAGTTTGGACCTCCCCCCAGTAAATTTCGATCTGTCCCTAACCCATCTACAATTGAACACATTTCCTGCTAAAAATGTGTTCAACATCCACTGAAGTAACTAGCAAGTTTACTAGATACTTTAGCTTGAACAATATCACAATGCACTGTCATAATACCTAATAGTTCTTGACCAAAGACCAAAAAGCATAAAAGGCCTTAGCACATTGGTTGTCCCCTGTTAAAAAATACAAACATATAAATAAAGTTCAAAAAAAGCTTTTTAGCTTTAAAACATGTTGATAAAAGGTGGTGGGTTTGTCATTTTGCAGAAAAACTAATAATACACAATGTACTGTCACAATGCAGTGCCATAATACCCATGTGTGTGTGTGTCTCTGTGTGTGTCTCTGTGTGTGTCTCTGTGTGTGTCTCTGTGTGTGTCTCTGTGTGTGTCTCTGTGTGTGTCTCTGTGTGTGTCTCTGTGTGTATATACAGTGCATACAGAAAGTATTCAGACCCCTTGACTCTTTCCGCATTTTGTTAAGTTACAGCCTTATTCTAAAATTGATTAAATTGTTTTTTTCCTCATTAGTCTACACACAATACCCCATAATGACAAAGCAAAAACAGGTTTTAGTAATTTTAGCAAAAAAACGAAAATATTACATTTACATAAGTATTCAGACCCTTTACTCAGTACTTTGTTGAAGCACCTTTGGCTGAGGTTAGCATCAAGTTTTCTTGGGTATGACGCTACAAGCTTGGCACACCTGTATTTGGGGAGTTTCTCCCATTCTTCTCTGCAGATCCTCTCAAGCTCTCAGGTTGGAAGGGGAGCGTCGTTGCACAGCTATTTTCAGGTCTCTCCAGAGATGTTTGATCAGTTTAAGTCCTGGCTGTGGCTGGGCCACTCAAGGACATTCAAAGACTTGTCCCAAAGTCACCCCTGCGTTGTCTTGGCTGTGTGCTTAGGGTCGTTGTCCTGTTGGAAGGTGAACCTTTGCCCCAATCTGAGGTCCTGAGCGCTCTGGAGTAGGTTTTCATCAAGGATCTCTCTGTACTATGCTCCATTCATCTTTGTCTCAATCCTGAATAGTCTCCCAGTCCCTGCCGCTGAAAAACATCCCCACAGCATGATGCTGCCACCACCATGCTTCACCGTAGGAATGATGCCAGGTTTCCTCCAGACTTGACGTTTGGCATTCAGGCCAAATAATTCAATGTTGGTTTCATCAGACCAGAGAATCTTGTTTCTCATGGTCTGAGAGTCTTTAGGTGCCTTTTGGCAAACTCCAAGCTGGCTGTCATGTGCCTTTTACTGAGGAGTGTCTTCCATCTGGCCACTCTACCATAAAGGCCTGATTGGTGGAGTGCTGCAGAGATGGTTGTCCTTCTGGAAAGTTCACCCATCTCCACAGAGGAACTCTGGAGCGCTGTCAGAGTGACCATCGGGTTCTTGGTCACCTCCCTGACCAAGGCCCTTCTCCCCCGATTGCTCAGTTTGGCCGGGCGGCCAG